AAAACACGAGCTACCGAGTGAAAATTTTTACCATTTATGAAAGATCAGATCACAGGATATCTTTCCATGCATTTATCTTAATTTCGACCATTCTGATGATAAGTGCCTTGCTTTGAGGAGGCTTAAGTAGTTAAATTTTTAGTTAAATCATAAATACTTTATCGGTGCGTCTCAACCCTCTGTGTAAGTCATAGAGCCTAGATCGACCCTAGTTATGAGATCAATTTTCATTTTAGAAGGCACTACAAAACGTTTTTTTTGTAAAAGATATTCTAAAGCTGTTCCTTCTCGATTACTTTAAGTTCATTATAATGAGTAATTCGAATTTGGATAGAAAACATCGTCTGAAATTTGTTTCTAGCTAGCGCCCAAAATCGTAAGTGCTGTCGCTCGTACTCGTGAGAACGGCGGTATATCGGCGGCAGTGCGAACAAACGTGTGACATGGGTATTCATTGTTTTAATCTGTAATAGTTTATTCAATTAAACGGAATAGATTAAAGCCAATTTATCTACCTATTCCATCATTGCCTGTATTGAACCAACCGTTGTACATTTAACGCTAGGAATCAACCTTTTTATCGTCTGTGCCTATCCATTCTATCTACGTTATTGTTGTCACATCACAGCATCGGAAAAATATGTTTTATGTAGATAGAAGATAATTTTCCTGACTGAACCGCTGATGAGCAAGTTAAAATTTACATCTATTTGCTTTTTTCTGTATAGTCCGTGATCTGATGATAAAGAGTGTAATAATTTTGAGTTTGGTGAAACTCAGAATGATTGGATGAAACTTGCACAAAAAATCAATTTAATTTTTTTTACTTCAGATATCTTTGATTTAGTTTCTGATGAACAACGATTCTGGAGATATGAGTAAAATTCTGTTGTAGATGGCGCTAGTTTGGAAGATACTTCGAAAACTCCTTAACATCAGGAATCTATTTGAGATTTATTAGAATCAGAAAAAATAGATTGATGTTCTATGAAATTTTCATCCAATCTTTTTAGTTACATCACACTCAAAAAAATTAGTCATTTTTCACATCTGATCACATAGACTAGTATAGTTCTTATTAATTCTATTTTTTTTGTCTTTGCATTATTTCTGGCAAGTTTCCTATAGATCTTAGAGTATTACCTATCATTTATCTATTCATAGTACAATAGTTTGATTTTTCTATTTCCCTCATAGTAAAAATTGATTTTTTTTTCTTTTAAGTTTTTCATTTCTACTGATGCCTATAGTATTATGTAGTGTTTTATACAATTCTTGAGTTTTTTCTTCATATAATCAGTTAGCTGTTCGTACAGTTGATAGATCGACAATTCAAAACGAAGGTCTTAATATGAGTTAGGCTTAAAATTTTTAATGCAATTATTCAGTATTTTACTATTTGATAGGTAACATAGTTATACGTTAAGAATCAAAATTTAGTAATAATGTTAGCCATTCTTCGTCTTTCTATTCGTTGCATAGAGCAAAATAAAATGAACCTTTTTCCTAAATGGCTTATCGACCGTATACATGCATAAAAATGGTCATATACCCTCTTATTTGTTGTTAAGGGCAGACACTTTTCTTTTGTCTCTTTCTTACTTTTCTTGTAAGCATGTGTTAGTGAGAAGATTGAGAAAAAGAGATGAAAGAAAAGAAATCACTGTTATCATCAAATAAGCCAGTATATGATCACCTTATATACATGTAAGTGGCCAGCAAGCGATTCGCGCATAAGGCTCTGTATCAATTTTCTTAGATTTTCTTATTGTCTTAATTGAGACGAATTGGCAAATAGCAATAGATAGATATTACTAGTAAGTTTTGAGTATATATGCAGTATTTTATCAGCTGAGAGTTCATTTTGAATTTTTTTATGTTTCGAAATTCGAATATATGAAGTGGAACAGACAGAAGATGTACGTTTGAGAATAAAATCTTAGCGCATCATTCAAAATTTATTATACCTAAGTGGCATTATTATTAAGAAAGTACATTATTAGACAATATGTTTTATGTTTATAAAACTAATTTACTTTTTTTTCGTTAAATTTTTATCTTTACCATGTGAAATCGACATTGAGATCAAGTTTAGAATTATATTTCAAAATAAGAGAATGACAAAAATGTCTCAGAGTGAGTAGTATTTTTGCCATCCATAATTAAAAAAGAAAGAGTGGATAATATTCTTGATAAACATATTTTAACATGTTTTCTAATAATGCACTTTCTAAATACTTATATCAATTAAGTACAATAAATGTTGAAACATTGTCTAGATGATATCCTTTAATATATGTCTTTTATGTCTGTCCAATTTTATATTTTCGAATAATACAAAAAAGAAATTCAAGTGGATCCCGAAACTAATGAAATAATATTTTTTTTAATTTTCACTGAAAGCGTAGTCTTTAGATGAGATATTTAAGAATAGAATCATTTTTGTCAATATATCTTGGCATATTACTACGCGTTTGATTTTTGGATTGAGAATATCCTAGAGTGAACAATAATATTGTATCAGCTTGATCTAGTTGAGGGATAGTTTTGATGAGTTCTTAGGAATTCTTATTATTTTCCCACCATATAACAATGAGTTCTTAGCTGATTTTGGTCACAGGAACTTTATGGCTTAATTTTATATTAAGTTCCATAGGCCAAAATCGACTAAGAGCTCATTGTTATATGGTTGGAAAATAATAAGAATTCCTAAGAACGCATCAAAACTATCCCTCAACTAGATCAAGTTAGTAGAATATTATTGTTCACTCTAGGATATTCTCAATTCAAAAACTAAACGCGTTAATGAACTTTAACGGAAAAAAAATCCGAAAAATGTGCGCTTTTTACGATTTGTTTTTCGTTAAAATTTCACAACATTTTTATGCGTTTTTTTTTCGTGTTTGTCTGACTGGGTAGACGCTTACGCTACCACGTGGCCAACAGAAAAAAGTTTTGCGTTCTGCACACCACCATTGGCAAACTGACGACGCACACATATACTCTCGAATAGTTTCCTGTGAGACAAAATCTAAACGGCGCGGCTTTTTTCTCTTGCTTGCTTGATAAAAAAACGTGACGCACATTCACTTCATCGTTTTTTGCGACAAGTAAGTAGAGAGAAGGGACTACAGAAGACCTAACTAAAATCCATTGAAGCAGTTTCGAATCGAACATTAATAACTGCGATCTTCTGCACTTAAAAATTGCATAGCGTTGGTCTTAATGACAAGGCTATTGGCTGAAGCTGGAATCTTGAATGTTTCCGTATTTTCCGCAAATTGATATGAATGTATCTTATGATTTCATAGAACTAAACCGCGAACGAGCGCAGAATATTCTTAAGATGCAGAGCAATGTTAGACTTTTATCTTTTAATATCAGCGTTTTCCACTAAAGAAACGTGTAAAAAAAATTTTGATTACGCAGGTCAAAACTTAGTGAACACCCTTTATGTCTGTGATAAAAGTTCATTTTCGACCTTTTTTTGCAAAAATTTTATTTCCCGAGAGGTGCATTAAACGAGGTTCCCGGTTTAGAGATGTGTCTAGGAAGAGGAAGAGATAAGGAAGAAGATGATACTTTCCGTTACAGAAACCAAGGGTACAAAAATATGCAAACCGATTTCCTATCATGTTAGAAGATAAAGCTTGGTCTACATGTCAAGATAATATCATCTGTGCTCAATATAAAAAAGAGCCTGTTTTTTGCTTGACGCCCGTATATCGGTTGGAACGTTGGGTTGAGGAGAAAAGGAAAAAAGAGGCTGTGCTTCTACTTGATGAAAAAGGATAAAGAAAGTCGAGCAGGCAAAAAGTCATCTGTACTTTCACCTCCACAGAAAGAAGAAGCAACAGAAGATACATTTCGAGAAAACAACCGGCCTACCTTCCACATGTAACTTTCGTTTTATTCCCTCGCACCATCTTTCTATTTGTAGAGCAAACTTATTGCACTTGCTCATAAAGGCAAGAATGTGGTTTTCAACATCCGTCGCCATCATTATTTTTCTTCTCTTCGTCGACCTTCCAAATAATGTTCAATCTCAAACCTGTTCGGGGAGCCCAACAGAGCACTGCGGTAGGTATCACAATCAGAGATGTTAGCCGACAAATTTTTCGGCAGCAGCGGCGGCGGCGGCGGTGGAGAATTATTTGCCGACATTTCATTTTCGGTGGCGGCCGAAAAATTTTTGGGATAATCTTTCGAATATTTGCCAAAGATATGTTTTGTTGTCGTGAGAGTTTCTATGAAATACTAAAGCTTCTACAACGTGTTGAAAGTCGCAGTGATATACGAGAACTAAAAGGTATTTTCTGGGAATAAAGGAGGTCCATGCGAAACCGGGTCGGCGGTGGCGGTGAAAAATCGGCGGCTAGAATGTCTAGTCACAAGAATTATCTGTCTCAAGGGATACCGTTAGTTATTCTAAGAGACAGAGAAGCTACGCATGGCTCATCAGAGATTGTGCACGCGTTGACATGCACGTTACACTCAAAAAAACAATCGATTTTCATTTGTTGAAGCCTTACGAGAGACAAAACTACGTTATGCTCATTTCACGAATTAAGCGGTGTTCTATGGAGAACGTGTTCATGTCAGATCTTTGTCTTGTGTTTCTCGCATTTTTCATTTCCTGCAAAAATCATCATTACCGATCTCATTTTTAGGCTTTCCAAATTTCAACTCATTTGTGACTATGTGTCACTAACCGACATGTATTTTTTACTTTGACCCTGTAGAAAGATAGGATGCTCAAGCCATTTATAAACCAAAAGATAGAACTCGGGAAGCGCTACAAAATGGTATAAAATTCATGCCCTTTCTGTTTGTGGCCTAGATGTGTAACCCGATAAGAATCTCAATCTAAAGTTTTTTCGTAGGTCAGATTTCGAATCTCATTCAAAGACACCAACCAGTAACATATATATATATAGATACCGCTACTTACGCACTACTCGTTCTCTTTTTCTTCTCGTCTCATAGACACACAAGCATTGATGTCGACATACAAGTTGCACTATTTCAACGGCCGAGGCCGCGCCGAGGTGTCTCGGCTTATTTTTGCTGCTGCTGGCCAAAAGTTTGAAGATATTCGCTACGAAGGCAGTGAATGGCCATCACACAAGTCCGAAATGCCCTTGGGTCAGATGCCGGTTCTCGAATTTGATGGAGTCAAATTGCCCCAATCATTATCGATTGCTCGTTTTCTTGCTAAACAATTTGATCTCGGAGGCAAAGACAACCTTGAGCAGGCCAAAGTCGATGCTGTCGTCGATACAATGGTTGACGGGGTGGCTAAATTTGGACAGATTCGCCGAGAAGTTGATGAAGCCAAGAGACAAGCAGACATGGAAAAGTTCATTGTCGATGAACTACCGAAACATATGCAAAACCTTGAAGTTCTGGCGAAGGCATACAACAACGATGGCCCATTCTTTGTTGGAAATCATCTGACATGGTGCGATCTATTCGTCTATGATATGCTCGAAAATGTTCTTCATGTCGATGGCAGTGCTCTCAATCGTTATTCCTGGTTACAACGCAATCGTCAAGAGGTCGAGCAACAACCGAAAATTGCCGCCTATCTCAAGAGTCGATCGCAGACACCATTTTAAAACATTAAGAGAGAGTCCATGACTCCATCAAACATTGTCATACTCAGTAAATTTTTGACATGCGATTTTTATTATTGAAAACGACAAAGAAACGTACAAATTCAAATTTTTAGCCCTCTATATCATATCCTTCACGAGTTATGAACGAAACATGAACAATACCTATTCAGAGGTAAACTTTTTTCTTTCCTATTAGTATACTGACATTTCTCTGCAAGTAAGAAAAACTTTGAAAAACATCCGTTTTTTGGAAGAAGAGTCGCCCTGGCACGTACGTTGGATTTTGTCACTACTCGAGTCTCTTTCTTCCTCCGTTCATTTTGGTATATCATAGCTTTATTGTGAAATGCTAAATCAATCGATCACTCACAAGTGACAATTGCAACATCGATAGAACGTTTCAAGTGTTCTCACCATCGTTGCTGTTGTTTTCGCCCCTATTGTCGAGTTTCTTTCAAAGGACGGTATGCTTGCCAGTTGGATGCCTGCCTAGAACATGTTTAGAATGATTGCAGAGGAGCCTCAGTTTTGATTTCTGGGTCAAGTCGAGCTTTCTCACAAGAGACACGAGAAGATCGATAGAAATTATACATGCAGTGATTCTGACCGAGGCCCAGTGACCACTTGTGAGCCGAGGCGTATGTTATCAAATCGAAGATAGAACTGGACCAAGTTCCGAACTCATTGGGCTTTTTCTTGTTTTTTGCGAACAATATCGTATCTGTGGTACAATCTTGTCGAGGCCGTTGAAACTGAATAAGTTTGTTTTCCTTTGCAAACAACATGAACGAAAGAACCTAGATGGATGGAAAATTTGACTATTCAAAAGTTGACATTCAATTCAAGCAGCTAGCTTATTTTGTGGAAATGGGATCACACACACAGTGCACCTGCTCATCCATCTCTCCGATCAACTTTGTTATGCTCTATATGCTCGATTCGACATTTCATATGAATTTTGTGGCGAAATCCAGTTTTGACCATAAATGGCCAAAATACGGTCGATAGTAGACTTGAAAAGTTTGCAGCAATAACAGGCGAATAAACAAATTCGAGTGATACTTTGTTGACATTCATCGCTATACAGAACGAATGGGTTGTAAGAGAGAAGCTGCGGTTCTGTAAAATAGACAGTGGTTTATGGAATGACACATGACACAGTTTAAATCGATTGAATGAAGTCAACTTTCGTGGAAAACCGAAAGGTCACAGAAGCGGACAGTTGACAACTGTTAATCGCTATCTTTTCTTGGATCATCTCATAATAAATAAATAGAAATTATTAGCTGCAGTGACTTTAGTAATTCTAAAGCTTCAGCTTCAGGAGGGATGTGGGTTTGGGTACGGGTGTGGGTATGAGTGTGGGCATTGTTCTTGCTAATATACACCCACACCCACACCCGCAATTTTCTATATTTTAGACCATTTCTAATCGATTTTTTGCATCACTTTTTTTTTTACTTTGGTAGTCTTTTCTGTGATGTCTATTGTAACGTGCCATGACATTAATGATTTTATCATTAAAGAAGAATGAACACTTTAATCAATTCATTTAAACATGAATGAAAGAAAAACATTTATTGTAGATTTTATCTGCTCAATTGCAATAACAATAACATTTTTTTATTGTTCTTACAACTGAATATCTCTGTTGACTTCTCTTGTTTATATTTACAATATATTTCGTTATCTATTGCATGCTATGTTTGAATACCTACGAAAAAACAAGAAATGCAAAGAATGAAAAAATTTCTACTTAAATATTTGCCAGCTTGATGTACTTTTCTTACGAATAAATTACTTGCGATTAAAATGAATATAATTATGTATCTTTGCTCAAAATTATTCGATGAATCTAAATTTATGAGCTAATTAGGAACTAAAATCAACGTTGAATTCAATTAATTAAATGGTATTATGTTTTTGTTTTGTGTTATTCATGATGTATTTCGTAATATAAATAGTTTTCATTTTCGATTCCTTTATGTACACAAGGCTCCATACAAAAAAAAACATAAACCTTCAGGGTTTCTTTCTACCTCAAAAAACAAAATGCTTCTTCTTCTTTCTTCAAGACATGATTTATATTCAGTCGTCCTCACATTTCAATATTTTTTCGTTCGTCGTTCTTTACTAACAACGAATATCAATCTTACTTTCTCTCTTTTTCATCGTAGCAATGCATTCAACCATGAAAAGAAAACATAGAGTCCTGCAATAAAACATAAAGTAAAAAAATAATGTGAGTGTCTTGGTGAGAAAAGTCAATCTAGAAAGGGCATAGACACTGCATAAAATTAAGTTCTCTGGTTGTTTTTGCAGCAGCATTTTCTCACAAACCTCGAATTAAGCAATATCTACGCAAACGATGGACACTAAAAAATTAGCAACCAGCATATCTGACGACAATAAAAGTACGAAACAAGTATTTGGGTCCTCAATAATAGCGAGTGCACCTAGACGATCTAATGCTCGTATGGTACAAAATGTCCTTCTTGTTTGGCTAGACAAAAATATTGATGTAGGCAATAATCCTGATTGTCGAAACACACTTGTTCAACTTCGGCGTGTTGTTAACACCGTCGAAATATTTACAGACGATGAAGAATGTATTGAGTTCGTCCGAACCATAGAAAATAATGACAAAGCTTGTATGATCATTTCGGGTGCACTTGGGCGACGTATTGTTCCACGCATTCATCATATGTCTCAAGTAGACTCCATTTTTATTTTTTGCATCAATCAAAAATATCATGAACAATGGACCAAAGATTGGTGCAAGATCAATGGAGTGTTCACAAAAATCAAACCTATCTGTGAAGCTCTGAAAACAGCAGCACAACTATGTGAACAGAATGCTGTTCCTATTAGTTTGTTGGCCACCAATGTTGATACGACAAAAACAAATTTGAATCAACTAGATTGTTCATTCATGTACACATCGATTCTTAAAGAAATTTTGTTGACAATAAAATTTGAAGAAAAGCACATTAAACAATTTATTGCTTATTGTCGTGAACAGTGTGCCGAAAATGATCTTGAATTAGAACATATTAAGAGCTTTGAAAAAGATTATCATAACAAGACGCCTATTTGGTGGTATACCTACGAAAGCTTCTTATTTGGAATCCTCAACCGTGCGCTACGGCTAATGGAGGTCGATATTATTATTGACATTGGCTTCTTTATTAATGATCTTCATCGTCAAATCACTGAATTAAATCAGAAACAATATCGTATTAACCACATTAGTAAAACTTTTATACTTTACCGTGGACAAGCCATGGATGTTAAAGATTTCGAGCGAATAAGGAACACACCAGGTGGGCTCCTGTCTTTTAATAGTTTTTTATCTACCACAAAGAATCGTATCATTGCCCGAAACTTTGCTCGTAGGAGTCTACAGAATCCAGATTTGATGGGTATTCTCTTTGTTATGACCGTTAATCCATCAGAATCACGAACAGTCTTTGCCGAAATTAATGATGTCAGTTTTATTTCTACAGAAGACGAAGTTCTCTTCTCCATGCACACAGTGTTCCGTATTGGTGATATTAAGCCCGTGGAAAGCGAGAAAAAGCTCTTCGAAGTTCACTTAACTCTTACCGCTGACAACGATAAGGATCTTCGATTACTTACTGATCGTTTGCGACAAGATATTTCTCCAGGCGAAACAGGCTGGTACCGATTGGGTTCTTTATTACTTAAAATGGGACAACACGACAAGGCTCAACAAGTTTATGAAGTTCTGTTGCAACAGACCACGAACGACAACGACAAATCGAATCTTTATCTTCAACTTGGAATAGTCAAGCACAGTCAAGAACAACATAGTGAAGCGATCAAGTGCTTTAAAAAATCGCTCAAACTCTCCCAGAAAACTCCTAATTCAAACCTTCTTATTTTAGCTGCTATTTATAACAACATGGGTTGTGCATATCGCAAGATGCAAAAGTATTCGGATGTACTATCGTGTTCTGAAAGAGCTCTTGCCCTTCAACAACAGTCACTTCCTTCGAATCATCTTGATTTGGCTGCATCTTACAACAACATCGGTAATGCATATGCAGAAATGCACCAGTACGCGCAAGCACTTTCTTCATATCAAAATGCTTTGGCAATTCGACAACACTCACTTCCTCCAAATCATCCTGATTTAGCTTCTACCTACAATAATATCGGTAATGTGCATTACAGTAATAATAAGTATAAAAAAGCACTTACGTTTTACGAGCATGCTGTGGAAATTGCACAACGTTCATTGCCGTCATCTCATCCTGATCTTCAAAAATATAAACAAAATCTCTTTTCTGTGAGCCAGAATCCATGACTCATGTGTGTTTTTTCGAAGAGAAAAATAAATGAATTGAAAAGACACTGTTTTACGGAACTTTCGCTCACATATACAGAAATGATGTACTTGTTGAGAATACAAACGAATTACACCTATCGATAAAACAATCAATAGATGTCTCATAAAGAATATGTATGACATCAAAATATCTCTAATGATTTTTATATGTCCGTGAAAATTGATGTTCTCTATGTTAGCTTATGAATAGCTACCCAACAGACTGTAGAAAATGAACTCAACAAAGAAAAGAAGTTTATTTATTAGTGCCATGAGCTATCATTGATATTGTTTCAATAAAAGAAGAATTCATTGTGTTAATAAACAAAATGGGTTAAGAGTGAATTCAGGAAGTTGTACAATCCACAAAAATACAAGAGAAATAAAAAGAATTATAAAAATCGCATCTTAAAACTTTATTTCCTAACTGATTTTTGTGGATTCGATTTGTCTCTAATGGATCTCAGTCTACTATGACGAACAGCCTGTAGATGTGGGTATGAAGGTTTGACTGTTGATACAGTTTTTTGTCTCCATTTCTTCTAGACCCACAACCACAGCCACATTGTAAGATCAACAAAACTATGGCATTTGTCTTTATTGTCATTGTCTTGCATCATTGTGTTCAACAAAGAGTCATTTTTTTATTTTTTAGCAACAAACGTCTTTTGTCATTGTGTATTTTAACATTTACATTTCCTACTCAAAAAAATCAAGTTGTTTATTGAAAATTTAGATTAAAAAAAACATGGGAGACAGGCGATGTGCG